CGGCATTCCCCCGGAAGAGCTGGAGGAAGTGTCTGTAGAGAGGGAAGTCTGGGCATCTTTGCTTAGACTGCTGCCCCCGCGACCCGGTCCCAGGTAAGCAGAGGAAAATGGATGGATGGATGGATAGTGACAATCAAAACTATAAGACAAATGAACAATTGTCTTTTTAGCCAAGCAAACACATCATAGAAATGCTTACTGTTGATAACAGTAGGCACAATATGCCTTTTTAACAAAACCTGCCCCAGGCTGTTTTTCTATATGCTGCACCCTAAGAGAGCTTCTAAAACACAGTGAACCTAATCTATGTCTAAAAATAATGTAATACCCAGGAAGGAGCTGGCTGTTAAACATCTTCCTAGTGAGTCTCTGAGTAGGTCATAAAACTGAGGTGGGGGAGTTACTGGGCTATAAATGCCTATTATGAAAATACGTGCTTCTAATTGAACACATTATCATATGACGTACATATAGTAGACAGTTGATTTAATGGGTAACTCCACCAATTTTACACATCATATGTCAAAAATTTGTATAAGGTCTTTTGTAACTCCAGAGTCTATGAGGTATAGTCTGGCAAGTCTGTGACGGTTGGGCTCACCTCTGCTCGAGGCTAGAAGCTCAAGCATACATTAGCTGCTACTAGCATAACACCCCGTCTCGGACCAAACTGCTATTGAGATACACTGTGGGTAATGTAGGCATCTTTGATAAGAAAGAAAATTGCGTGGAATAAAACAGACCATATCTCTGGTCTGTGTCTTTGCCGTCATAACAGTTAAATGAATGGATACACAAAGTGAATAGATTACTGATAAATAAATATAAATGGACAGTAAATTAAGTGAATTATAGCTTTCACTTATATTTATCATTTACTTTTTAACTGGTAAATGACTTTAGCCCAGAGCACAATAAGCTGTTCTTCCTCTGTGGCTTTAACCCACAGTCCCAACGAACACTTAAACCAAATCATATACAGTATGGTAACATTAAAATAACACACCTCCTCATATCTCTTTATCTCCACTTCTCACTCTGACCACCTGCTCATTTCCTGCCTGTTTTCTCTCTCTACACCATACTGTCCTGCTCCATCTGCAGCTGTCATTTATCGTGCGACTCGTTCCAAGCCCAGACTGGTTTGTCGGTGTAGACAGTCTTGACCTGTGTGACGGCGACCAGTGGAAAGAACATGTGTCGCTGGAGCTTTTCCCATACGATGCAGGAACTGACAGCGGATTCACTTTCTCCTCTCCAAACTTTGAAACCATCCCGCAGGAAGAAATCACACAGGTGTGTCAACATTAGCCTCAAGCAACACTGCATCAATCCAAAAAGAAAAATCACAAGGCATGGGGCCACAGAAACACCATCATCTGGTGCTGGCAGAAAACTGTACATTGTTTTCTGCTACAATATTACAATACTGCAATTATGCCTACTACACAGTGTTTCTACATTTACAGATTATCAAATTATTAGGAAATCACCTACATTACAACTTCAAACAGCTGCCACCAGCTGCTTAGAGTCACCCTTTTGATTTTACAGTCAATTTAATGACAGAAATAGAAAAAAAGATTAAGACTCAAAAGTTGTGGTAATCTATTGTTTCTTTCTAAATATGCACCATTTCAGAATAATGTTTGTACTGAACAGAGATGCACCGAACAGATGGAAAATCCATATTAGCAGGTTAGACTTTAAAAAGTCAGGATCTACCAATAAAATTGCAATCGGTGCATCTCTAGTACTGAACATAAATTAACTTATTGTCAAAATTCATTAGCATAAGCACTACAGTGCAGTACCTACTGCACTTTTATCATAAGTGCTATTACTATTGTGCTATAAACAGTGAATGTCCCTAACAGGCTCTACCAACACATCTCCATTTATCAGCTGTTTTTCCTTGACCATTTTCTGATCCACAGATCACCTCCTCCTTCCCTAGCCACCCTGCTAACTCCTTTTACTACCCACGCCTGAAGCAGCTCCCTCCCATCGCTAAGGTGACGCTGACCAAGATAAAGAAAACCAATCAGATCCCTAGCCTGCCACTGGAGCCCACCCAGTCCAACCAACTGCTAACAGGAAACGAGATTGAAGACACATTCACAAGTAAGTCTGAAGAATGCAAAAATACTAATCATTTCTGCCTGTAGTAGCACAGCACTGGCCAAAATGGGCCGTGATAATGAGAATCAGTTACTACCACAATAACATTAATCATATATATGAACGACTGATGGTGTTGTAATGGTGCTTTCTGTTTCTCTCACACATATTTTTACCCAGTGTATGTGTGTTAAAGCAACAGAAAACCATCTACCACTGTGTTCAAACTTTTTTTCTAATTTTTCTTCAACATACGTGTAGTTTCTGATGTCTAGCCTCAACAAATGAGGGTAATAACTTGGAAAAAGCTGTAGCAACATTTTGTCAAAGACACTACAAAACACTGCAAGTTGCCAACCATGGAGATACATAGTGCACCATTTTAAACATAAAAAAGTGGCTTTCTAATGTTTACTGCTTGGCCTCAATAATAAACACAATGAGTTTTAATGATAAACACCCAATCTAAATCCAACTCTGCTTACACTAGTAAACTCCATGGGATACCTTTAGGCAACAGGTATAAGAAAAAAATGAAAAATCAAATACAAGCAATTAAACACAGCCAACTCAAAATGCTTAAATACTGTACAGATTAGTAAGATCAACATCACTGCTTGAGTATGTGATTTTGCTTGATCAGATTAAAGCATTTGGGAACAATTACAGGCCACACTCAAACTCAATTACTTTCAACTAGAAACCAGAGAAGCCAAGTGAGGGCAGGGAAGGACATCTGGCTCCCACTGGAAAAGTCTAAAGACAAGAGATGGAGAAAATGAAATTTTAAGCAAACTATGTAAAGATTAATTACAGCAGCATATAGGTCATGACATGTAGTGGGGTGCAGACACGTTTGGTTAAACCAGATATGGATCCATAAATTGAAGCTGCAGTTATTTCTTGGTTCCACATTGTTAAAGTTTTAAAACGGCCTAAGGACATGGACAATAGGAAGGCATCCTGAAAAATTAAAAAGAAAAGTGTGTCAAACAACAAGCAAAGCCAACCGTGCAGTAGATGAACAATCTGCCTGGGTGACTGCTGTTCTCCAATGTAACAGGAAGTTCCAGAACTCACCACAGAAAGTCCAAACACATGGCATGACCAGGAAAAAGGTTTTTTGAGGGGAAAATTACAAACACTGAAGATATGTGTCAACTTGGCAGTGAAGCTGACCAGGACTATAAAGATTTGACTCCCCATTACAGACTACAAGTCTGTTCCCCTGACTACCCATCAACAAACAGCAGAGAGGGGCCAAGATTCTGTTGCTCCAAATGCTTCATCCTACTCCTCCATTTGTTTATGCTTCCCCTCTGCCTTCCTCTAGGATCAACCTTCGGTCCAGATCAGCAATCCCTTGGTCTAGATTTTAATTGTGAAATTCATCACTGATGTAAAGTCAACATTGCTTCTTACAGCATCTTATAAAGCTATCCTTCCATCTGTCCTTAATGGATGCACAATATGAACAGAGATGTCATAATCAGCCTCAACTTGACGTGCATGTTCCACTGCTCCATCCATCCATGCAACTTCCGTACCACCTCCCAGCCTTCTGCTTTTCTACTATTTAACCAGCAACTAGGTCTGTGATACATATCATATACTATATCCGGTGTGTGAGCCAACAAGGTTGCCTGACAGTCAGTGATTGAAGAGGGGTGATTTTCCCTATTATGACTTATTCCATTTCTTGGCATTAAAACCTGCAATAGGAAACCTAAATGTCAAGACAATAAGTATATTGCAGTAAAAAAGAAGATAAAACACAAGCATGCATGTTCGAGAGCATGAAAGCTAAATAACGAACCAAAACTAATTGCTTAGAACTATAATGCCTCCCCTCTCTGTGCAGATACCCCTCTGGATTGTGAGGTGTCAGTGTGGTCTCCCTGGGGCTTGTGCAAAGGCAAGTGCGGAGACACAGGTGTGCAGCACCGCACACGCTACATCCTCATGCACCCAGCCAACAATGGAGCAGCGTGCCCCCTGCTGGAGGAAGAGAGGAAGTGCTCCTCAGACAACTGTTTATGACTAGGCCAAGAAAGGAGACAGAAGAAAGAGAGGAAGGAGAGAAGAGCGAGGAAAGAGAGAAAGGCCAGGAGAGGGAGGAAGGGACAAAAACAAAGAAACAACAGGAAAAGGTCTGCAATTAATTCACATGAGGCATTAATATGATAATCTAGGCTCCCTTCTTTCCACCCTGGCCATGCTCTCTTTCTGTGGAAATGATTAATATACTGATTTAAAATGAGACAAACCTCATCCTCAGGCCACACTGATATATCTGACAGAACTAGAGAGGTGTAGTTAGACAAAATAGCTATTAGACACCAGTTCAGTTTTTGCAGATTATCAAAACTGTGTGGAGAGAGAACAAAGCTGTTTAAATCAGAGCCATTAATTGAAAACATGTTTTCATTTTATAACTGTCTGTTTCTGAAGATCAGAGGTATCTGTTAGCCCACAGTGGATTATAACTCTCAGTGGCTTTAATCTAACTGCTTTGGAAATAAATCCATATTAATGCTACTTAACATCTAAAATCCCCATATTCAAGAAATACTTCAGAGAAAATCCCAACAACACTAGCCCTGTCACAGGGGAAAACATGATGCCTCAACTGTTCCATTAGCTGCAGCAGTACCAGCAGAAAATTAGGTCAGACAGAAATATATGGTCCTCTAAACAGTGCCACATTCAAAACAGAATGTTTACAGAGACATTATGGTTGTTTCCCTAAAGTCAAAGTATATATTTATTGACAGGATTTTAGCCTGTAGTGTACAGTATATCAAATGCAATAATATGTATTCCTTTATGTTACTAGGATAATAGTTTTTGTAAATAAAACAATGTACAAAATGTATGTTTCTGTATGGTCAATAAAGTGTAAATACATCTTGAAACTGTAAACTAATTGGTAAAGGCTTTCTTGGGAGAAAGAGAATAATTTTTCAAGAAATGTGGGAGAAAGAGAATAATTTTTCAAGAAGAAATACATACTCTTAGTACATTTGCTGGTCTATTGTTTAGCTTGACTACATGATTCCTAGAATTACAACACTGATTTTAAAGTGAAAAAAAATACCAGTATATGGATTAAACCATTGTTCATTAAGAGGATAAAGGTGTTCACCAACTATTCCACCAGTTCATTAAATGCTGACTTAGATCATAAGGCCTGACATCTCACAGAGCTCACATAAGGCTGTGAAATCAAGTGCAGCACATCCCACTATGAAGCTGGAGTTAATAGGCAGAACAGACACCACTTATAGTTACACTTAAAGTGACCTTTTTTGTTTAGAAAGTGTTTCTGAGCAGGAGGAAAACAACACAGCAGTTAGAAAAAATTTCTTCTTTCATCGACAATATTGGTGCAAATACATAAACCAGATCAAATCACTTATGACCATGCAACACAGAAACCATACAGTAGATGACAGAATGAATAGCAATAAGAGTTAACATCTGGTGTACGATAAGCTCCTTCCGTTTTGAATGATGAGGAAGAGGAAAATTACAGAGACTGAGAAAGAAGAGAAACAGGAGAGGAACCGATCCAGTTTCTGGTCTTCGTTAACAGCAGTATTTTGTATATGAAGTGACTGATCATAAGTAGTAGTACATTGTAGCAGTGGTAGTGCCAAATGGCAGTGAATTACAAAGTATTAATGGCCATATTTATTAGATTATATGTTTGCAATAAATTAGAGCCTTAAACAGAAATTTGCAGACATATAAACCCATGATATCTTAAAACCAAATCTGTTAGTTTAATTGCAGGTATAATAAATTGATTGATGCACAGGAAAAGAAAGAAATTAGATTCTTTGCTTACTTTGAAGAATAATAACTTCTGAATAACTTTTGCAGATGCTAAATAGGAAAACAGTTTATACTGTGTGTGGGTGTGCTGCAGTTTACTTTATAAATGACCTCATCTAAGGTAAGGCATATGGCAACTACTGTATATATTGGTTTGGATTACATTTGCCACTTTTCCGAAGAGATTTGCAGTCTGTTCCTGTAATACTGTACTATATTAACAAAAACTGTGACACAAGTAATACAATCTGTATAAGATGAACAGCATATCCCATTTTTGCAAGGATTAGGAAATTTGAGAAGTGCATTTGTCTAATTTCTCAAGTTTAAGTATCAACAAACACCATCCATCAGCATACTAGTGCGCTACTAACATTAATATATTGAGAAGTATATTAACTGGTATATATTTTATGTATAATGCCAACAGAAGATATTGCATGCGCCAGAGAGGTGTCTGAAAGGTCATGGTGCAACTCCTAATTCCATGCTGGTGTATTATGAGTACACTGTTGATAATCTGCACATGTTGCAAGTAGTTAGTTCACAGTCACTATTCTTAGCAGTTTTACTATTGGCTCCAAGATTAACCAGTCACAAATCAACCAGAATGTCTAATCGCCCAAAGCAGCACCTGTGAATTTCTCACACTCCACCTGCCTCCCTTAAAGACTTCCACTTTTAGTACATGAATGCTTGGATATAGCCAATGAAAAATACTGCAGTCTTGACTTTAAATTAGCAGATCTACTAAAATAATTCTATTACAACTGCAATCCAAACATTTGGTCATTGTCAAGTGATTTACTATCCAGTAGCTCACTGTTAGCTGACAATGTGTTTGCGAAGCATTGGCTTCCTCCTCCACTGTTACCTGATGTCGGCAGCAGCCATGTACTTTGATATTGGACAGCAGAAGGAAAAATGTATCATTGAGGAAATTCCTGAAGACATGCTGGTGACCGGTGAGTCCTGCAGAGGGAATATTTCTCCTGAATATCTTTTACCATTTCAACAGTAGCAGCATAATGAATATGGAATTACATTTTGAAAAGTGAACTGTGAATGCCACAGGACTGAAGAATAACACGGTGTTGTTATATGAACATCCATAATAGTATGTTTCTTCAAACTACGCTAGAAACTTCTGCACTGTCCATTACAGTGTTTTCTTGAAGACTGATTTGTTGTGTCAAGAATCCAAAAATGTAAAGTGATTCAACCAGTCCTACGATGAGACAGAGAGAAATGTAATGTTAATGTACTTGTGTGCCAATAGTTTTTGCAGCAACATGTTAAGGAATGTATATATTAAATACTATATTATGTATAAACATTGAATATTATCAATTCAAATGTAAATCTCAATATGAAAAGAATAAATTCAGTTTCATCTTTGTGCTCAATGTAATTCTTATCAGACATATAAGGTATGGTATTTGTATGTACTCATGTGTGAGTGTCTCTTACATTCAGGTTATTTCTTGTTGGAACCTTGGGATCTGAAGTCATTCACCGGCTCTCCTCATTTTGGTGCCACTGTGACAGTCAGAGACCCAAATCTTGAGGTACAATACTCACAGGAGAGGTTTATCACAAAGTCAGGGTTGCACAAACATGCATTAAAGGTATACACAAAACTGATTGGTTTACCATTCATACCAAGCCAAATAGCCAAAATGTACTGAACAGGGCTACCAAAGACTAGAACAGCACAGTTTGAATAATGAGAATGTATGTACTTCCATTATAAACCATAATCTCTATTGTGTTTGTGTTACAATTATCATCTCACACCTCCAGTCCAGTTCTTTGCTTCTGATATGGTCCCAAATCATTCCATTTCAAATTCACCTTTTTTTTTTTTTTACAATGCCAAAATCTATCAGTCTACCAGCTGTGCTTGACTCCTTTTCATACACATTACATCCACTTTATCTTCCTCAGCACTTGAGCAGCCAAAAAAGAATTAAAAAAAGCCAAACCACATTTCCATTTTGAAGACACATAACTGAAAAAATGCAGGACTAACAGTGTCTTATCTTCTCTTAAGGTTGTGATGTCCAAACGCTATGGTAAATTTGGTAAATTCACCTTCTCAGCTCACACATCTGGTCAACACTATCTTTGTTTCCAAAGCAACTTGACAAGGTTTGCTGTCTTTGCTGGAGAAAGGCTGGTGAGACCTTTGGACACACACACACATACACAGGCTGCTTATTTAAATGAATGATAAAAATACAGCAACAATGCAAAGTATTATATAGTTACAGATTTTCAATATGGAGGTTTGCTATGTATAGGTTATATGTAAGTATAAGGTACGAATTGACCAGACAAAACAACCAATTTGATGGCAAAATCTTGCATTATAGGAAATTAATTTTTGCATTTTCAGATATTCTATAGGTCAAACAATTAATCAAATGAATAACTGTCAGATTAAATGGCAATGAAAATCCTTGTTAAATGCAGGCCTAGGCCTAGACAAGTCATACATTTCTGAACATGATCTACATTTAGTTCCACTATTTTTTTACAGAAGATGCATTTGGATGTTCAGATGGGAGAGCACTCAATTGACCGTAATACTGACAACACTAAAGACAACATGGATACTCTGGAGAACAGTCTCAGACACCTCATAGCTCAGATGATGTACATTACCAAGCAGCAGGAGTATCAGAGGGTAAATGAGAACTATTCTGAGTATCCCCGTTGAGCCTTAAATGAAATAAATACAACTGGAAATGTAACATTTTTAAAATGATAGAGTGAATTTTTGAAAGCCTTTCATCAAGATTTGATGTCTATCTTTTTTACTGTCAACTGTCATTCAGGAGAAAGAGGAGGAATTTCGTCAGATCAGCGAGAACATCAACAATAAAGTGTTGTGGTGGGCCGTGATGCAGACCACTCTTCTGCTGTCAATTGGTTTTTGGCAGATGAAACGACTCAGACTTCTTCATTGCCAAGAAACTGGTCTGACTAATGACAACCTCTGACCTGATCTGTCAGTACTGTACCAGTTGTTGATATTGCTTTCCAAAGCTGGCCCAGAACTTACTACTGTTATACTGTAACATACAACATTACAAGCTTTATGTCCAAAAATAATAGCAAATTACAACTTTCTCACTGCTGAACATTTGCTGATATAGACACAGTCCATAGGAGTGACAAATGTATTAAAAAATAAAAGTGTAAATATATATAATACTGATTAAAAAAAATGCTGTTTGTGTGTGATACTGTATTTCAGTTGGGTTTTTCTCATCTTTTTGTTAATGATCCCTTACAAGATTTAGTAATATTAAACCACATTCTATGACGTTGTGGAGTCTGATAATAATGCATATTTCAAAAATAATAATAATAGATATTTCGCCCATTTATGAGCAGACATTCATACTGTTTGCAAGACTGAACACCCAGAAAAGAATCCTATAAGAATTATTCCCTATTTTTCAGAATATGAGCTTTAAGCATAACTTTGGGTTTTGGAATAAGGAGGCTTTCCCTAACAATATACTGCCCTGCCATGTAGCTTAGCTAATGTTAGCGTCAACTACCGATATTAGCCGCCTTTAGCTAACTTAAAGTTACAGTAGCTAGGTAACACCTTACCATAGAAGTTGACGTCGTTACGTACTATGAGGTAAATGTACAATATGAAATACATTCTTGTTGGGTTTTTTTTAAACGTTACTTGTGATCATTATTTAATGCAGAAAGAGGTAAGCCTATAATTAAGTACACAGTAACCGAAACAGGTCAAATAAAAATAATCTAACAGCTCTTGAGACGAGTTAATGTTAAGACTTCAAAACTGCTTCCACAGAAGTAACCGAAACAGGTCAAATAAAAATATTCTAACAGCTCCGTTATTTAACGTTAGCGTTAGCTACGTTAGCATTTGGCTTCAGCCGTCGCAAGATAACCTGAGCTAAGTAACGTTAACGTAATAAATGTGTAGGAAGGGGTTAGCTGGGCTATAAGGTCCTAAACTTAAAAGAAATTCGGTAACGTAAAGATGTTAAAGCACTTATTTGTAACCTTAGTAGTTATAATACTACTTATCTTAAAGGGTTGAAGCTAAATTAACACACTCAGGCAGGAACAATGAGTTGGCATTCTATCAAGTTAGCTAATTACCATATCAAACGCTGGCCTTATCTTTTGCAGGTCTTGCAGATGTCTTACTGGATCTGCTGCAACTCATGTTTCCTTTCTGCCAGTGCTGACCGAAAACTGGCTGTAACAAGTTGTGGCCATGTCATTTGCAATGTCTGTTATCAGAAAGGTTGGTTATTAAAACACCAAATCTGCACTTCAGTTGTACTATGCCTCCTGCTCAGGTCAGGTGAAACCCTGAATAGACAGGGACATCTGTTGGACTTCAAGAGATACTGCAGAATTGATTCCACAATTTTACACCAGGAGTCTTTAACTAAACGTTTCCATGTCTAAAACCTCTCAAAAGACACAATAACAGTTTAAATAATAATATGCACCTTCAACTTTACCAATGGGAGCCAAATTGAAGACAGACAGCATTTGCTATATAAGATGAAATCTCTGATCCAGTCATGCGCTCATCATACCCTAAAAAGAAATAAGAGTGAATATGGGACCTCTTGAAATACTCCTGGAGGTTCCTTGATTCCACTATTGGAATCACTGATCATATTCATAAGCCACAGTCTGTTCCTTCAATCAAATTCTTAAGAGTTTGGTTATATTTTTATCTCTTCTCACAGAGTTATACCACTTAATACATTTTGGGTCCCAGGCTTAAGCACTTTAGAAACCTCAG